AGAAAACCTTAATAAGCTCTGAAGTACACAATATGGACAGAAGCCTAAGAAAAGTCAGTATGATGTGCAACGATGCACAATAAAAAAAATAACTACTCTCCTGCACAAAAATGTGCACCATCTGACCCCCAAAAAAATCCAAAAACCAAAAACCAAGAAACAGGTGCCTTCTTCAGGGCCCTGACCTGATTTCCAAGAAGTCAGAATGAGCATGGTGTGTAGGGGGAGTGGTGGGTATGGCAAATGAGGTGGCAAAAAGGGAAGCGGGGTGAGGCAGGAGAGAGACTGAGAACACAGGAAAGCACCTCTGCGTTCATTCTTGGCTCCCGGGGACACAGCCCCGAAGGAGCACTGTGGGCCCCACTAGGGGACGGCTGGAAGCTGGCAGTCTTCCTTAACTCACAGAGCTATTTAGAGCTCTGGGATTGGTGCCCATTGTCCAGGGAGTTAGCATTCCTGCCCAGGGGAGGTGGCATGAGAGAGAGTTTTCAAGTGTATTTAACACTCTCCCCCACAGCCTCTCCCTCCCCACTCCCCGGTGCCAAACTCCGAAATTTCCTGAAGAAAAACGAGCTCACTAATCCAGACTCAGCCTGACATAGCAAAAGATAAGAACAGCGTTCTCATGGTGAGAACTCTGGGTTTGTAGGTAAGTGCTACCCACCTGTCCTTTGGTTCAAGTTTAGTCTACACTTTAGACTATAAAGCAAGCTGTCTTAAAATGTCTTTTCTAGGTCCTGACCTTATCCTCTCTTTCAACACTAAGCTTTTTCCTGCATTATTATCACCAAAGTTCCATCAAGAGCAATCCATTTATATCCTGGGCACGTATTGTGATCTGAGCTCTGAAATAAGTATGGTGAAGATCTCAAAGAAGGGGAAGATGTGTCCTGCCTATACGTGCGATCGAGTTTCAGGAGGAGGAAGCCAAGCCAAGGAAGGGCTTGGTCATCAGGGTACAAGAAGGGCAGGGGGGACCAGCGCTCTGAGAAGATGAGTGAGGATGTCCAACCCAAGTAGTCTCCGCACTGCTGCCCAGACTACTGGTTTGGGACGCCTGCACTGTTTTGAGACCAGTAGAGTCCTACTCTTCAGATTTGGTGTGTTATTATTAGACTCTATAGTCACAAACCTGAAAGCCCTTGGGAGTGGGAACTATGACTCAGTCACCACCACTCTCAGCACTTAGCATAGCACCTGGCACCTGGTAGGCTACAGGCTGTGTGGACCCATTCATGTGTGAATGAGTGAACCAAAAGGGGTCCCAGAGAATAGCTCTGCCCTAAGTCTCACATCCTCTCCAGACCCTTCACCAGGCTTTTTGGAGGCTTTTGAAGAATAGTGGAAGAGACTCTCTTATTGGGTAAATAATGCTTTATATAAGGAAAGTATTTCTATTTTTTTCCCAAAAAGTTGTTTGTATGCTTGATCTTTATGGCATTCTGACTGGGGCTGTGTGGGGAGCCTATCATCTATCACTATGTTATTGGCAAGGGCCCTGAGCCTCAGAGGAACAATTTCCACCCCCACCCCCACCCCCACCCCATCTTCTGTGTCACTCTAGGAATTCATTAGTATAGGGCAAAATTTCCCAGTGGTGTGACTGGGCAGCTGTCGTTTCAGAAACACACAGGATTCAAACATTGAAACCTGATTAAAAGCCAGGGGTCAGGGTCTCCCTGTCTTGCTCTATCAGGTTAGTCGTGGTGCCTGACAGCATCTTGTATTATTGCCTCTAGACCATGAAGAGGACGGAGAGGCACATGGTCATGGGTCCTGTGTATAAACACTTTGATTTGGAGAGGAAGAATGCCAGGTGGGCCGAAGCCAGACTCAGCCAAACACTGCAGGGACTGGAGCACATCTGCCTGTACCATATGAAGCTGCTGACCCGGGAGCAGAGACAGCTCCAGAAAGAACGGCAGAGGTTGCAACAAGGTGAGGCCTCCAGGATGGGGGAGAGGCAGGGCAGGGCGACAAGCCATCGCCTGGCTGAGGCCAGAGTGACACCCCTACCCCAGGAAAAGGGCTCTTTCAGAGACCTAGATACCAAGGAAACAAAAACTTAACCTGACCTGGATTTTAGGCTGCCTGCCCTCTTCCCACCCTCCCTGGGGTACACAGCTCCCTGCAGCAGCTCATCAGCAAGCCTTTTTGAGCCAATACTTCCCAGGCTTCCAGTCACTTCTATGTTTCAAATGAGATCTCTCTTGCTTAAGTCCTTTGTTTTCTTCTTATTTTATTTTTCATTCTGCTTTCCTTTCACTATATCTGGGTTGATTTGGTTTCATGTCTATACCTGGCCAACAGCCATTGATTGAGCAACTGCTTAATATGCAAGTCACCTTAAGAAAGGGAAGTAAAAAACTGATCCCCAGGATTAGCGACCACTGAGCACTATCCTTGTCCTGATACCTGCCCTCTGATGGGGCTGAGCAAGGAGCATTTGGCCATTTTCAATGCTCACCAATGTGACTGACTTCAAAATGAACTTCTCAGCCACCCTCCTTGTACTTTAATGTATGTTCACACTAGAGCCTACAGATTATGCTCAGATTAGAAAATTTCAAACAAGTAATTGCGGTATATCAGCACCGTGTTTTCTTTGACTCCGTAAGTCAAAGGGCCAATATTTCTGTTGTTTTCCCAAAGAGGCCTCTTTACCTGTAAGCCATGTGCTCATACTCTTTATAACAATGCTCTTCCATAAAACCTCCTGTCTCCAAAGAATAACCCTTTCCAAATGTGTACATCATTTAGAAGACTGTCCAATTAACAGAGATAAGTAAGTAGTTAAGTAGCGACAACAAGAATGGAACTAACCTCAAAAACTAGTTTCTAGTTAGTAGCTACTGATCATCACAGAGCCAAGGGACTACACAGTGGTGTCCAGAATCTCAGACCCTCCAGAGCTGTCTACACCATTCAATAACAATTGGGAAAGAAAATCCCCCTACTCAATGATCCCATTAAAACATGGCGGCTAAGAACACAGACTCTGGACCCAGACTGTCAGGGTTGAAGTCCTGACTCTCGTTTACCACCTGTTGAGGCCTTGGGGGGCCTACTGGACCTGTCTGTGCTTCACTTTCCTCCAGTGTAACATGGAAATGATGTTCCCCACCCTGTGAAGTTAGTCGAAGATTCAGCAAGCACTTGGGATAGTACCTAAACACGAAATAAGTATTATAGAAGTGTTTACTCTTATCACTTAATCAATTGATGGATCCATCAAGAAAAGATGGTTACAGGACTAAAACTTTCCTACTGCTTTGTTGAAACTGCCGTAGCTGTACGGTTTGCAGAAACGACATTCATCATTAAAATAATTTGATTTTGATATTTCTTCAAAATTCAGCATAGAGAGGATCCATCCCAGCTCTGCAAAATTACAGCCCCTTCTCACTGAAGGCAGGTGCTGGAACTCAGAAGCTCTGAAAATGCTGGAGCATGTTCCAGAGGAAAGCCAGGTGTCACTATTTGATGTCAACTTGTTTAGGTCTACATGGCTCATATATGGACACAAGAACGAAAAGTAATGTCCAAACAGCTGGCCTGGGAATTATTTCTAACCTGCATCTTTGGGCCTAAAGAGGACCCTGAGCAAGTAGCTGAACTTCTCTGTTTTCCATTTCCCTGTAATAAATGGTTAAAACAAACTAGAATGAGAGCTCACAGACTGGAAAAGAACCTTACAAGCCATCTGGTTGAATCTCACTTCTATTCTCAAAAAAACACGTAAGACATTATACCCACTTTCATGGAGTGGGGCGGGGAAGGTATGCAAAAGGCCAGGCCAAGGTAGGTGACTGTCCTGGTTGAGTAGAGCATTTGCCTCAGGGACAGGTGGTGTGGGTAGAGTCTGGACCAAGAGGCAGAAAACTGATTCAGGGGCCTCTGTCTCTATGTCCCTTAGAAAGTCATATTCTTTCTGAGCCTTGGATTCTTAACAGTAAAATTAAGGGAAAGGGGGAAAAGTTTAAGGAAAAGGAGAAGAAATGATATGTATTATGTCTCAGTATTTATCAGGCACTGTACTAGGCAATATTTTCCCATGATTCATTTACTGAAATTGTTACTGAGATTCGGCTACATGCCAGTTGGTGGATTGTCTAAAATGCGTATTCCCAATCCTCATCTGTAGAGATTTGGATCAGCAGGTTAGGAATTAGGCTCAAAAACCCACATCTTTAACTGAGGTAATACTAAGACAGATTATTATGGGACACTATAGCTACTCCAATAGATGCAGGAATGTAAATATGAAAAAACGTGGTCTGTGTCCTCTAGATGCTCACGTTTAAATTGGAAGGTAGCTGTGCTTGTGAGAAATTATAATAGAAAATGCTAATTGCTAAATTAGATTTGTTTCCAGAGGGCAGGAACGAAAGAAGATTCCTGTCTATCAAAGGGACTTAGGTAAGATCTCCCAAGAGAGGCAGCGTGTATGCAGAATCTTAGAGGAGAATGGGAGTGGGGTTGCGGGGTGGGGAGTGTGGTTTGTCATAGGGACACAGGGAATGAGGTCACTCCTGGCAGAAGGAACAGTATGTACAAAGATGCATGCATGAGCATGACTTGCTTCAAACAGTCCAGTACTGAGGAGGGTAAGGGGCGAGGAGGAGAAGGTAAGGCACAGTGTGGAGGCAAAGTGGTGGGGGTGGTGTCTCCGATCATGAAGAGTTTCATAGGTCTTGCAAAAGAGTTTAGATTTCACCCGATAGGGTCTGGGAGTAGGGAGATTACATGTTCACTCTGGCTGCAATGTTGAAGAGAATTCCTAAAGTTCAGACCTAAACTAGGGAATTAGCCAAGTAAAGAAAAATGAGCATTCTGAGATATTTAGAAAGTAGAATTGTCAGAGCTTTGTAATTAATGATATGTTCAGGGGGAAATAAAACCAGAGTCAAGAGTATATTGCCTGGCACAAAGGAGGCATCCAAACATCCTTGTTGAGTCAGAGAGTTGGATGTATACAGGCACCATGCCTCCACAAGTGTACACGGGAGAAAGATCAAGTTTCAGAGGAAAGTTATGTTCATTTCCAAGCCTGCTGACTCAACAGATCTAAACTGCAAAAGAATGGTCTGGCTGGGAGAAGTAGCTTAAAATCTCTCGGTTTATAGGAAATAGATGAAGTTCTTACATGGATAAGACATACACACACACACACACACACACACACACACACACAGGCACACACTCAAGGAAATAACAGAGGAAGAATGGCTCACCAAACACCTCTTGTCTTGACTACCTCGCAAAGAAGTGATGAGATGAAACAGTATTAGGAGTTGAATGTGATTTCTAGTCCCCTGTCTGGTCATATTCCCTCTGCCTGGTGCCTGCTAACCCCAGTGCAGATCCAGGGAACTCACTCCCAAACCAGCGCAAGACTTTCAAACCCAAGTGACCAATCCGTGAGGTGTCTTGAAAACGAACTGGGTCCTCCACAGTAGCCATGACTACAAGAGGCTGAAACATTTATTCAAAGAGTGAAAAACCCACTTCATCATAGCCAGCAGTCACAACTCATGGTTGAGGCAGGTAGGAGGGCGCATAATTGAGGTGAAGGAAACAATAGGGCACCACCTCTGGGTATTGCTCACACCCAGTTATTTTGTCTTGAAGACCCCATGCTTGTCAAATAAAGCATTCCAACAAAACTTCCATGGGCCTCTAGCCAGTTTAAACCTCTGATCTCAGTGTTTCTAAGTCCTTGTTAACATGTTCTAGGTCAGCCCTGGGGAACTGCTCTAAGTTCTTCTGTCTTCATGCAGCATGCCAGATCAGCCTGCTGTGTATGAGGTCTGAAGGTGCTCATATGTTGGTTCTCTGGCCAGAGAACCCGTTGCCGGTCCAGCCTCCCTTCCCTTCTTCTCTTACTAGATTAGTTTTTAGGGCTTCCGTAAGAGAGAACCACTGACTGGGTGGCTTATTTATTGCCTCACAGTTCTGGAGGCTACAAGTCCAAGATCAGGGTGTGTGGACGGTTGATTCCTCCAGAGGCTGTGAGGGAAGGACTTCCTTCAGGCCTTTCTCAGAGTGTCGATGGCTGTCTTTCCCCTACATCCCTTCACATGGCTGTCTTTCCCCTACATCCCTTCACACTGTCTCCCTCCTGTGTCTTTGTGTCCAAATTTCCCCTTTTTATAAGGACACCAGTCATGGATGAGGGCTCCCCCTAATGACCTCCTCCTAACTTGCCTATCTCTGTAAAGGTCCTATCCCAATAGGGTCACATTCTGAGGTGCTGTGGGGTTAAGACTTCAACATATGACATTTGGGGAAGACAAAATTCAACCCATAACACTTATTCATTAACGCAAAGCAGATATGATCAAGAAAAAGCTCTCCTCTTACTTGGGGAATGGAATTCAGAAGAGACCAGAAGATGTCCTTGTGCCCTCACCGCCAGGAGGACAGAAGCACCGAGTTCCGCAGGCAAATAAAGTTAGGTAAAAAAAATGTTTACTAAACTCATGGAGACGCCATTGAATCCCTCTTCCCAACTGACTTCCCCCAAATCACCCTCTCCCTGAGAAAATGCTGCCTCTCCTCCTTAAGCAATGAAACACTTCCCCTATTGGAACTGCCCCCTTCTCAGCCACTTCATTACCTCAGCAGCTACCACACAGAAGGGGAACAGGTCTAACAACTGGGAAGTTCAAAATATGGGCCTTTTTGTTGGTTTTCAGAGATCTTCCTTCTTTTTACCTCCTTCCCCAGAGCCCTGGCCACCAACTCGACCCAAGAAATATATAAAATCCAGTCCCAGATGCCTCCCTTCGATCACACTGGCCTAAAGGACTCCGTGAAAAGCAAAGAACAGTCACTCTCTCAAAATTACAAAGCTTCCCCCTTCACAGCAGAGAAGCCACAAGCCCGAGAGAAAGATCGTCTAAGACCCCCAAAGGGCAAAGACTCCAACAAGGGCATCTCTATTCTGTGTCAAGATCAAGTCGTCTCCATCAACACCCTGGGCCAAGGCCCTGGTTTCAGCCCAGCTGGTGGGACACTGATGAGGCCAGATCACAGGATGCCAACCTGAAGCCAGACCCCAATGCTGGCAGACAAAGTCCCCTGAATCCCAGGGAACGTGCAGGAAATCTGAAACACGAGTCCATAACACCTACCTTCCTAGAGCTGTTTGTGAAGGTCAGAAATGCCCACTACCTCCGGCACAGGGCTCCCCCTGAGTCTGAGAGGTTGCTTAGTACTGGGGAGATGTTCGGGCACAAGGAATCCTTCCAGCCCAGAGGGAGACAGGAGTATGAGAACAGGGCGGGCTTCCTTCGTCTCTAAGCACTAGCATAACCTCACAAGAACATCTTTCATACTCAGTAAAGAGATGTGTGCCTCAAGTAACTTCAGTAATTAAGATGTATTTTATATATATACATATACACACACATATGTCATTATATATATATAATGGTAGTCAATCTTATTTTAAACCCTCAGGTTTTTCTTTTTTTCCTTTTACGGGGATAGAATCTTTCACTGAATGAGCGATACAAGTATATGAAAAATGAGGGGAGAGATGAATCTTCTGAAAACACTTTAAGGGGTGTGCACATGTTGCTGATGTCAGCAAAACTAGGAATCTACTCTGACGACTAGACTTTTCCTGAAAGGAAAAATATGAAGGGTCCCGCTTAACATTGGCCAAACCGCTTTTCCTATAGGAGGTTCTTATGGTGCCACCTGCTGGCACAAGGACACAGCTGTTCTGTGTCCGTTCACTTATAACGGAATAGGAACACCGTTGGAAATAGGTATACTCATAGGTTCCATAAATAAAACCTGCTTGCCCACCAAAGTCCGTTCTTCCTTCCTCCCTCCCTCCCTCCCTCCCTTCCTTCCTTTCTTCCCAGGCAGCTCCACTTTAGTTTCCTCATTCCTGCTTTCCACCTGCTCATATCACACTTTTTGGATCCTAATAAAAGAATAATAAACAATTTACATTATTTCCTCCAACATTTCCCCCCAAGAAGCAAAGCAACCGATGAAGGTAGGCTGGGAGACCAAACTGATTCATGGACACTTAATTTATTCGCATTGGCCCGTGACCGCCGGGCTAGCAGAGGACAGGGTCCCCCGGGGTAGAGAAGCCCCTGCAAACTGCCCCAGCCCTTTATTACATGTCCTTCCTCCTTGTCTGCTGCTTAAACCCCGTCTGTCTCCATCACAATCACACTCCAAGGGTGAGTTTCCAAAATGATTTATCCCACTTCTCCGTGGGCCTTTCCTCTGGGCCAGCCACTGGAGGACGCGACCATCACCAAGGCAGCAGGGAGCGTGGCCTCAGCGTGGACCCCTGCTCCACACACACCATCAAACCCCCCACTCCATGTACACCCCAGTCTTGTGAACTCGAGAAATAAACATTCGGCACAGTGCTCATAGTAACTGTGCTTGTGTGTTCCTACATCAGACAGGCCCAGATCTGTCTGCGTTTCCTCCTCCAATATTGTACACACTCTATCTTAAATGACAGGTCCTGCGTTGCCACAAAATTGTGCATTTGCAAATCTTCTAACCACACAGATTTTATATTCTCATCATTGAGTCCAATACATTTTCCTTCTTTGATACAACAGACATGATACTTTTATTGGCACAGCTCACCACGATCAAGTGGAAAGCCGCTGCGGGGGGGCTTGGCTGGCCTAACTCATCACATTCTAAAGGACAGTTCAAAGCCCTTGTCTCCACAAGGTATTCTGAGCTCCAGGACGGAACACAGCCAGTCAGCTTAACGTCATTCATTCCTACCCTGGTCCCAACTGGGGATAAGTGTGCTCCCCAAAAGACACTGGGCAGTGTCCAGAAACGATTTTGGTTGTCACAAGCCAGGTGAGGGGGTGAAAAGACCCCGACCTATATACCACTGCATTAAGTCTTGGCAAGAGCCTCTGAAGGGTAGGAAATCAGTGAGACAGTTTGTCTCCCTTTTACAGAAAAGAAAACTGAGGCTCGTGATAAGCAAAATGACTCTCTTCATACCGGAATGTGAATGAGGAACAAAGATGTATTAAGGAGAATGTCTTCTCCATGTACCTCCCCGGGAAGGAAAAGGGGGCTTTCACCTTGTTACCTGAACCCATCCAGCGAGCAGGGAATCCAACGCTTCACCCGGAGGCAGAGGCGTCTGGAAACGCTGAGGTGGTCGGTCACTCGGCCTCTCACCCAGGGTCCCAAGGTTGTGGAGGCTGCTGAGAAGGACCTCAAAGGTTCTGACAACCCTCAGTGATCGGGTATCGTGCTACCAGTAACTCCGGAACAACAGCCCTTCTGAGGGTGAAGGCAAGGCAGAGGGAGGGGAACTTGGAGGGCTTGGCCCCCACACCAAGAGCCCCGGGACCGGGGAGCCTCCATCCCAACCAAGCAGAAGTCAACAGCCCTACATGGCCAACGACCGCCAGTGTAGCAAGAACTACCGCGAAACAAAGGGAAGCCAGAGACGTGTGACCCCAGCCCGAGCCCAGCCCTGCGCAGGCGTTTGGACGCCTAGGGCAGAAGGAGGGAGACAGGGAGGCTGGGCCTCACGCTTGCGCAGAGCCCGAGCTGCACTGGGTGAGGTAGAAGGACTTTAAATTGGACAAGGACCCTAAGTAATAATACCGAATGTGGTTGAAGAATATCTACCAAAAATAAAAGTGGTAAAACAGAAGGGACTGGCAGTTGTTGGCTCGGCCTGAGAGAGTATCAAGCAAAGTTGGTCGCAGTTCCCAGGAGAAAAGCCCCCGCCCCACGGTTACATCTCACCGAGCTGGGATTTCTCAGTCGGATCTATATGGAGCGGTGTCATGCTGAGACACATTCAGTACAAGGAACACAGGTGCGGATTACAAGTCTTCATCTCAGATGCCGCTGAGGCCCACCTGAGATTTATAGGAGAAAAGACTTTTTCCTAATTGGATGTTATGTGAACTCGATGCCAGTTCTCCCATCTTCCTGCCGGTGCTGTGAATGCGCCGCTGTTCTGGGTCCCAGTAACCTGGCACCACTTAGAAACTGCGGATGAAATTTAATGTCATTAGTTCAGTTACTTTGAATCACTCTGGTTTAATTCCATTCAAGTTGTACCATGAAGCTGGGCAAGGAAGAAACCTTCCCTACTAAAAGGAAAACACATACAAATACACATATAAAGACTCCAGACGTACTTACACACTGCTTGGAATCAAACCCAATACTAGCATGGAGCTTCTCGACTCAAAATTATTTCTAATAAAATATTATTCCAAAAGTGTGTGATAGAAAACGTATGCAAGCTACATATAAAGATACTAAATTTTGCAGTTCACTACTGGGAAATTTGTGCACACTCTTGCTGAAGTCTGACCTGGAGAGAGCCACAGGAAGTAGGAACCAGGTGCCTGTTTCTCTCTCAGCTTAAGCTCTAGCAACTAGGCTAGTATGAGCAGAAAATAATGAGTGATTCCAACAGTTATTTCAATATTACTGCATCAAAGATTAGGTGGAGTTTTGTAGAATATGTATAAGAATTCATATTTGAATGATGTTTTTCCTAAACGATTTCCCTTCCTTTTTTAGGGGGTTGCACTCACACAAACACGCACATAACAACACCCTCCTAATCCGGGGGCCCCGTGGTCTCCGGTGCTGGTTCACTACACGTGCTCCCACCAACAACATCGCAGAGCTCAGCACGCACGTGGGAGCTGATGATGTTTCAGGGAGCTTCACCCTCAGTGTCGGATAGATGTGAATCGTCACCCCAATATGTCTTTCACATCCTAGAAAATTTGGGAAAATTTTTCAGCAGTGCCATCATCCAGGTCCATCTGGAAATGAAAGCAAAAATAGATATAACTTGGGTCTTGAAGGAAAAGGAAATTCACAAAATTTGGGTTAAAAAGGAAGGCATTTAACATGTATAGGAAGAGAGTGAAAAGCTATGGATGGAAAGAGACCAGCAAACTAGGGCTCCTCTAGGAATTACTGGCAAGTAAGACATGCGATCTCATGGTCCCACCTCCGTCCCTTTCCAAGCCAGCTGGGACCCTCATAAGTGGAAAAGCTGACAGATCTGAGCTTTGCTGCCCCCGTTGCCCCTGTCCTTGGGCAGAGGCTAGCTACTGGTTTCAGGACCCAAGAAGAGGCAAGCCCCTGTATTAAAAACACAACAGGGACCTCAATTCTAAAATCAAGACTCTTTCATAATTATCTGAGCAACTCTAAGGTAAGTAACTTTTTCTTCTATTATAACAACTGATTCCCAACAGACATTCCTTCAGTATAGAAAACAAGCAGTAATGGTCCATCCATATCTACTATACTTTTGCCTCAGAGCCAGCCCTGCAGAGGTCATAAATAATTTACACTCAGGAGAACATGCCTGCTGAAATCTGATTCAGAGTGACCAGAATCCCTAGGTTGAAGAGTTCTATGGCTCACCCTACTTTACTGTTTGATCCTAATTATCACGAAAAAGAAAATAAACAAGTCTGTGTTTGGTAACATACAAATAACCATCTTGTTTATACTGGTCATCTTGGAGTTTTTCCATAGGGTATTGGAGTTGGTAAAGGCTTTGGAGATGAACCAATTCAAGCTCAGTCCAGAAGTACGAAATGATTTTTTCGAAACAAACAGAAAATGAAAATACTTGCTTTCAGTGAATTTCCCACCAAGACTTTGATCTAGAGTTGAAAGTCTGTTCACTCTGTAAACCAATGACCTTCCCTAGTAGGAAAGATGGTAGGTTCGAGCATGTAAACTTGAAAGCCAGGGGTTATTAGATGACTATTATTTCCCAGAGGGTATTCCCACAGATGCTGCAAAGTGCTAGAGAAAAAAAGGACTCTGGGTTAAACTAAGCTTGGAGACATACAGATTGCCAACAGACACATGAAAAAAAATGCTCCACATCACTTGACATCAGGGAAATACAAATCAAAACCACAATGAGATACCACCTCACACCAGTCAGAATGGCTAAAATTAACAAGTCAGGAAATGACAGGTGTTGGTGGGGATGTAGAGAAAGGGGAATCCTCCTACACTGTTGGTGGGAATGCAAGTTGGTGCAGCCACTCTGGAAAACAGTATGGAGGCTCCTCAAAAAGTTGAAAATAGAATTACCCTATGACCCAGCGATTCCACTACTAAAGATACAAATGTAGTGATCTAAAGGGGCACCTGCACCCCAATGTTTATAGCAGCAATGTCCACAATAGCCAAACTCTGGAAAGAGCCCAGATGTCCATCAACAGATGAATGGATAAAGAAGATGTGGTATATACATACATACATATACATATGTGTGTGTATAC